ATGAACTCTAGAATTGTAAATCTAAGTATTCTTTCTTTCTCTCTCTCTCTTTCTCTCTCTCTCTATATATATATATAAAGAACAGATTTATAATCCAGAGTTCTTTAGTATTTATTTTTAAAATCTTGTTCAGTGCTCTATACACAGTAGAGCGAAATATCATTTTTATATATACACTTGCATACGTTTGGTGTGTGTGCTTGTGGTTAGTCTATTGTGTGGTCTTTTGTGTAGCGATTTCAATATGTTTTTATTATAATCTTTTAGAATAAAAATATAATAATAATATATTGCTCTACTTTGTATTGAGCTTTTTTTTTAAAATAAATGCTACGAACAGCGGAATGTTACTCCATCTGTATCTCTATATATATATATATATATATATATATATATATATATATATATATATATATATATATATATATATGTCCATAAAGTTCGTGTGCACTTTAAAAATTTATAACTTTATTTGTATTATAAATTTTAAAACTGCACACAACGTTTATGGACACCATATATATATATATATATATATATATATATATATATATATATATATATATATACATTGTGTGTATTTAGGCTTTTTCATTCATGCAGGTTTCATTAAATGATATAGACAAGTGTTGTCTATTTATTTTATGTAAAATTTTTTCGTAACGTCTGATAAGTTTAATAACATTATCATATATGGATTATATATGGATATATGAAAATATGGATCAATATTGAATTTCTTTCTTCGTTCAACGATAATGTTATTAAACTTATCAGACGTTACGAAAAAATTTATATAAAATAAATAGACAACACTTGTCTATATCATTTAATGAAACCTCCATGAATATATGAATATATATATATATATATATATATATATATATATATATATATATATATATAAATTAGTGAAGTCAACACCGAGCGGCGACAGTCTTTTCCATGATTGAACGCAATATTCAGGCCATTTGTTTGGGGTTTTCGCTCGACTATTTATATATAATGGTGAATGGTGTATTATGGGTCTATTGTATTATCCTTATGGTTATTGTGTAGGCCCTACCAGTTATGGTTAATTTATACTCGAGGTTAATCAGTTGGAATAATCGTTGATCCGAATGCAGTTATTTGGATTTACGTTATAGCGCTGTTTTAAGACAAGCACACACACACACACACACACACACACACACACACACACACACACACACACACACACACACACAATAAATAATGAACTCTCCCGGCGTTTTCGAAGTATGAGTGTCTTTCATTTTGTTATGTAGTGGTTTCACAGTGGAGGCTTATATTTCACTAAGTCGGTCCTAAAAATAGGTTCGACGTACAAAACGTTAGGAACTTGATATAATAGGTAATGACGCAGTAATCTAGTTGGGGTGGCTGATACTTTAACATCCAACTAACGGTCGTCCGATATCGACTGACTGACCAGCTCACTGCCGACTCCGCCACTGCTACCCTTACTACTCCTACTTATTATAGGCGGGAGAGTCTATTAACTATAGAATAGGTGTGTTACACTATAACACATTTTTTTTATGTTCATGTCTCGTATGAGGCAACAATCCTGTACGTAGAATTGAACTGCAGACTACCCAAACAGAAGATTTGTTTAAAGTAGTGAAGGCTTGTGTAGAATCAGCCACACTTTTTTGAAGAGTCAAATACAAAGACCTGGTGCACCGTGCGCCACAAGGTCCCCAAACGACCCTCCTTCTCACAGACCACTTGCCATCCAAGGCTATAGAACTAGTCTGTCCTGCTATTTACCCATAGCTGGGCGTAGAAGAGTATTAGCACGTAAGTAAAAGTAATGGATTCGACTGGAATTCGAACTCGGCCTTCTGATTCCTCAATCCGAGCCATTATCCATTACTATATATATATATATATATATATATATATATATATATATATATATATATATATATATATATATATATATATATATATATATATATATATATATATATATATATATATATATATATATATATATATATATATGAATGATATAATTTAGCTCTTGAAAATATATTTCAATTGAGCACTGTTGAGTGATAAGCGTTAATGCAAAGCTCTTCAGAAAATGAATTGGAGCACTCCGGCTGATTGGCATTTTTTTACATTCGTAAAAACAATACGCTAGATTTAGTTGTTTCTCTCTGTCGAATGAAGATAGCTCAGTGGTAGAAACTCTAATTGATCGGTTGCGTTTCGATCTGGGCATGAAGTATTCGGATGTCTAGTCGCACTGAGGAGCTGTGATACAGCGAAACAGTACTGTCTGCGAATAACACACACACACACACACACACACACACACACACACACACACACATATATATATATATATATATATGCAGTGTGCCGCGCAATCCTCTTAAGTGTGTCGCGAAATATTGTCACAGCATACATATATACATGTGTGTGTGGAAGTCGTCATGGTACAGCATTAATATTATATTTTTTTGAAATAATTCGTTTCACTAAATGTTATGTTAAATCTTTTCTTTTAATATATGTTTTCAATATTCATTTTTTAAAAAGGATTTTTATTTTTGTAAATTAACTTTTAAAAATTTTCCTTCATTTGAATAAATGAATATTAACCTTCCAAATAACTGTCTTGAAACAACGCCTTTTAACTTTTTTTCTTCTTGCCTTTTTTTTTTTGAAAATTTCCTTTTATAAGAAGACAACTATTTCAATTGCCAAACTGACCCAATGTTCATGAGTTCTTCATTTATAGGTAATCTAATATTAAATCAGAATCAAGCAAGTTCAGAAATTTATCCATTTATATTGAGTATTAACAGACGACGGAAAGTGGGAAATCAAACAAAGTATAAAGAGAGAAGAAAAACGTCGTTATATACAAAGGAAATAGTTCTGGACGTCTATGAATAATCCAGCCTCAGTGGCAGTGCATGTTGGTCAATCTCCACACATCCGGGCAAGAGACTTGAAGCGACAATGATGTGCTACCAAGGAACGGCGAGAAGAGCAAAGGCATAACAAGAAAATTTTCATGAAAGTGGGAACTACAAATGAACTAATGCCTTCACCTAGAAAGAAACAGTTGAGGCATATAACGAGGTCTTGTGGATTTTAACAGTCCCAGAACGTACTGAAATCAGAAGAAGCATGTTACTCAACAAGTTTGATTAAATAGAAGACGAAACAAGAACAAAGAGAGATGGTCAAAATTTACATATAGCAACAAATAACAGGAAGTTGTGGAGAGTCATGAGCGCTCTCGTTTTGAATCTATTGCACATACAGAAGGAGAAAGAAACCTAATATAGATTATTATTACTATTATTAGTATTAAGTCATTGGAAACGTCATGATCCTTTAATTTTTCCAGGGTCAAATAAGGCTTTTGAATTCAGAGTTGATCTTTACCTAGACTGCTTTTCAATCAAGGCTGAATAGCTCAGTCTCCTCTACTATTTAACTAATTGTTGGGGGTAGAGAAATGGATTCATAGCTTTCCCAAAGGTATTTGTGATTAAGTGAATATAACGAACTCAACCGGAATTCGAACTCGGGTCTCTAATTTCTCATTTCGAACCGCTATTTGTTACACCACCCTCACATCCAAGCTTACAGCACCCCATATTGCCAAGCTGTCCCCCATTTAAGTAAAGACCAGTCTCTGCAACCTTGTGCAAAGTAAGTGAAACAACCGCATTAGCTTCTTTTCTTTCACTATACGGTCAGTTTTAAACCCACTTGAGTGACCGGGTGTAACCTATTTTTATTTTTTCTTCAGATTGGGTCATTTGCAGTGGTGCGAAGTGAAATTTTGAACACAGCCAGACACTATTGTCTCGATTGTCGATTAGTTGTCACACGGCTATTGTCTGCGATGGACGTTACACCAAGCAAGCGTACGAAAATTGTAACTCGAATACACTGGTAAACCTTACGAGTGGGCAAATCAAAGTACTATAGACTGGCCCGGAAAGTCTCCTGATTTAAATCTAATCGAGAATCTGTGGTCAATCTGCGAGGAACGACTTCATGGAGTGAACATACATAAGTAAATAATAACGGAATTATCTATTCGTTTTGTTCAATTAACAATTTGAACAAGGGTGTATATATATATATATATATATATATATATATATATATAGATAGATAGATAGATAGATAGATAGATATATAGATATATATATATATATATATATATATATATATATATATATATATATATATATATATATATATATATATAAAGGGTATATATATATATATATATATATATATATATATATATATATATATATATATATATATATATATATATATATAGGTATATATATATATATATATATATATATATATATATATATAAAGGTGTTCCAATAAATTGTACCGATAACAAATGTGAATTAAGTTTAAGCGTCTAATGATTTTTTTTTCTTTTAGATTTGGCAGACATTTGGATGATATTATTTTTCACATATAATTGCCATGGCTTAAATAACATAATTCAAAAGGGAAATAAATAACACTAATTTATTTACTGCTGATTTTGATCCGTCTTAATGAAACACCCGTATATATAATCCTTCTTAATGAAAAACCCTTTGCCAAGCTGTCCCCCATTTAAGTAATGACCAGGCTCTGTGTTTCAACGAGGTATGAACGTAAGATTCAGCTTAATATTGAAGAGGAAGAAATTGCCAGTGTTTATGAAATCTTTTCCGTTAAGAATTCTCTTAATCAAACGACTGGTATTTTGTGTTTTGCATTATCTTAGCGTTTGTCTCTCATGGAATCACTCGTGTTTCTGACTGTCATTAAATTCATTTACATTCTTTGCTTTACTTATTTTGGTTTTGATTATCAGTCGATGGTTTCTTCCTGTCACTTGATTACCTTTCAACCGGCATGATTCTTGTCTTTATAAATTAAAATCACTGCTCTGATAACAACTGACGAAAAGGATAACGAATTCATTATTAGAGACATATAGAAGAAGAAGAAGAAGAAGAAGAAGAAGAAGAAGAAGAAGAAGACATCGAATAAAGACGAGGAGAGAAAAATAGAATGTTAAGAGAAAGGAAAAAAAATATTCGTAGCAAAGAAGAAAATAATATATGTTCAAAGAAGAGAAACGGGAGAGAGCGAAAACGAAGAAGAAGGGGACAAAGCGGAGACGAGGACGAAGAAGCAGATAGAGAGAAAAGGAGAGAAAGGAGACAAAGATGAAATAGAACAAAACAATACTGTGAAGGCAAAATTAGAAGAAGAAGAAGAAGAAGAAGAAGAAGAAGAAGAAGAAGAAGAAGAAGAAGAAGAAGAAGAAGAAAACATCGAATAAAGACGAGGAGATAAACCTCAGAAGAGATGGGGAATACAGAATTAAAAAATATGTTGTTAACGAAAATTTGGAAATAAATAAAAGGAAAGAAGACTGAAAGATTGAATAGAAAAAGTCGAGAAAAACGAAAGAAGAGAAAGATGAAGATGACGATAATAAGAGACCGATAGAGAATAAAAAGGTAGCTAAGAAGAAGAAAAAGAAGAAAGATGAAAAGGAGAAAATGAAGAAGTCGAAATACCAGAAGAAGAAGAAAAAGGCGAATGTAACATAGAAGTTGTCTGTAAATCGATGTCTTTCGAATTAAGGACTCTATTTCTATTTATTACTTAATTTTCATCATTTTTTATTCAAATTCCAAAGTTTTACACGTTATTAACTAGTAAATTGCCCCTTTTCACTTGTATTATTTGAACCCATTTTAGTTTTCCCTATTATTATTATTATTACCCTTTTTTTCTCAGCGAATTTCCTGTCATTTTCGTTTTTCATTTTCAACCCACTTAGTCTTGATGAAACAAAAATTGTTTCGTAGTTTTTGAGTTGGTACAATTTAGTGAGGCATAAACTTCTGGATTTAAATTGAAGGTATGCTAGTGCGTTCGATTTTTTTTTCAGAATGGGCAGAGTGGGCGGGGGCGATAACGATGATCCACGATAGACGTGTAAAAGGTTAAACTTTAAAAATTGAAATTTATTTATGAACCAGACTACGATATTGATTCCTTTATTCTTTCTTGAAAAATTCTCGACTTCTTTAAGCAAGAGCTAAAATCTTTAATCTAAAGCAGCTGTTCTCAGAGTTACCGCCCATTTTGCAATCCAGGGGTTCCCGTAATTCCACCCTCATTTTCGAATATTTTCTAATAGTTTTCTTTGCATTATATTTATAACATAAATTCCACTCCATTTCCTCTCCTAGTTAAAATTCCTTCACTGGGAGCAAAGTAATGCCTGTTTAAGAATCACTGGTTTTTATGCCTGACATGATATTTTATCTATAAATGGTACAAAGTTTTTTTTATAATCGCGAAAATATTGTTTTCTTTGGTAGTTTTCGAGTTTCATGTCGGATGTTTTAAGTATGGCATTTTCACACTTCAATTTCGTGTAACGTGAAATTTATCATTATTATTATTATCTCATTTGATTTCTGGCGTTTACACATTTCTTTCCGGGTCCCGCCCAGGGACCTAAGGTTAGAAATGGCATCATGACACTTTCCACTGACAAAAAAAAAAAAAATATTACATAGATAAAGCCCTTCGTAAAGTGTGGGCTGTACTTGTCAGAACAATTTTTTGTATCTCCTTGAGGCATGGACTTCCAGGAATCCCTTCAATTAGTCTACTGCAATCTTTTCCAACCAGTCCTAGGGCTCCAAATACAACAGGGATTGTTGATGTTCCCATATGCCACATTTTCGAGATTTCTATTTCAAGGTCATTATTATTATTATTATTATTATTATTATTATTATTATTATTGTCGTTGTTGTTGTCATTATTACTATTATTGTTGTTCATGTTATTATCATTATTATTGTCGTTGTTGTTGTTATTATTATTATTATTGTTTTCTGATCTATACTCATTTCTTTTCGGGTCCCGATCGTTACCTTGGTATTCGTTACCTTGAGATTCGTAACCTTGGGTTTCGTTACCTTGACTTTCGTTACCCTGGGTTTTTGTTATCTTGAGTTTCGTTAACCTTAGTTTCAATATCTTGAGTTGCTCTTCGGCTACATATGCGGGATAATTTTTAATAAAAATTTAAACATATATCGTACGAATAGGGATATATTTGCTACTGTAGTTTCTTAGAATATCAGTAAAATATCTTGGCGTCGCGTTGAATACGTAAGAGAAGGATACGTTCGCCTATCGAATGTTGGGAGATTTGAAAAGTCATTGCCAAGTTTGACTTGAGTGAACTTTGCTTGATGCAGTTGAATGTTAGTTTATACTTATTTCTGTGATAAAAGCTTACATTTAGTGATCAAAATATCTAGTCACATGAGTCTAGAAGAAAAAGAGAAAAAAGAGACTTTTTTATTTTGTTTTCAAAGACTGACTCCAACAGTAAATGAAGCGATTAAAATACGCTGTCTCGTGGAATGTATTTTTTTTTCATTTGCAAAGAAATAGATGCCAGTTGAATTAGAAGAACAACGCAAACAGGTGGTAGTTGTTAAACGAAGCGTGAATAGAGAGAAGACTGCATGTCTACGAATCGACATCATTTGTCTAATCTCGTAGTTTAAAAGTAAAAAAAAAAGGTGATTAGTATCATGTTATTTATACATCAAATCTAAAAATGAAATTTCGAAACAGCCTTTCAGTGTGCAGCCCTCATGAAACAAGATATGGTAATCATGGCTGATTTGTGCCCGAAATAGAATTGTAGATCTAAAGAGAATGTGTAGGCGTCACGAAATTGAGAAGGGAGAAAAAAAAGTAATGGTAAAGTATACATCAAAGATTAGAGATAAAACTAACCGCCTGCAATATTTAAAATAAGTGCTATGTTTAGATTTAGATAAAATAAAGCTTCACGGCTTAATTTAACGCTTAAAGGATGATCTTCGCTAATTGATGTTTCGTTGGCAATTAATTGAATTCATAAATTTATTTTCTTTCCAACGACAGGGGCATCATTGACAAATTTATTTCGATTTGATTGTTTCGTTTTCTACGGCTTACCAAAAACTTGAAGGTTATTTAAAGCCAGAACATATTTTTTAGAATTTTTTTGTGATAATAAATCATTGCTATAAGTCGTACTGATTAACTTAACTGAGCGGGAAAGAGGTGGAATCATACCTTTCCAAAGAGTATTATATTATTTTATCATATTATATATATATATATATATATAGGTATGTCCATTAGGTCACGTAAAAAATCGGCATATCACGATTAAAAATGACTCATAAATCAACGAAAACAAAGTTTTGTTTATGTTATGTTTATGTTGTTATGAAGAGGAAAGACCAAAGTATTTTTAAAATATTTTTTGAAATTTTTTACTCCTTTCTAGCACGTAGAAAATTTTGCTTAAAAATTATGTTTTTTTTTACGACAGCGCGACAGTACTAAAAAAAGGTTTGTTTTATTTTGCGCTTTTCCCGCGGAAAACACACGTTAATTAGGAAATTCTTGCAAAAATCAAATAATTGTTGGATTTTAATGAAATTTTCAGGACTTATTCAGAAATGAATGAAATCTTTTTGGAATTTTTTTTTTTCAAAAAATCTTGTTAAAAAGAGATTTTTTTTAAAACATGTTTCCACCCACTTACATATTTTCAAGAAATTTCAAGAAATTAAATACGCACGCCCGGGATTTTTTTTATTAGTTATAAACAGGAATGTTTGTAGAAAGTAAATCACCAGTTTTTTTTTGTAAAACATTTAATTCTTTTATAGAAAATCAAATTTGAATTGTAAAAAAAAAAAATGTAAAAAAAGTATGACATTTAATTAATTAGAAAAGCTTACACCTGTTTTTGTAGATACGTTATATTAAGGACATTATTTTGTGAAGAAATAAAAATTTTCGATGAATAATGTATTTTTTGCAAATTTTTCCACATTTTAAAAATTTTTCATTAACGTCTTAAATACTTCAAAAATCTTTTTAAAATTTTTTATTTCTTTCACCCAAATAATGCAATGATAACGTTAATGAAAATGTAAATTTACAAATCGAACTTTGAAAAGCACATAACAGTCGTTTACACACAAATATTTTAAAATAATTTTAAAAATAAATTTTTATTGAAAAACGTTCATAATTTCTATGTATGGTAATGTATACGCGACATAATCCTTAAAAGGTCACGTGATTTGTGTCGTCTGGCACCGCAGTTATTTCACTCCTCTGTCCAGTTCAGATACACATCGTTAACGTGTTTGCAGAAATTAATAAAAAAGTTTAAAGAATTATCTAAATAATAAAAAAAAGTTAAAGAATTATCTAAATAATAAAAAAAAGTTTAAAGAATTATCTAAATAATAATAAAAAAAAAGTTTAAAGAATTATCTAAATAATAATAAAAAAAGTTTAAAGAATTATCTAAATAATAATAAAAAAAAGTTTAAAGAATTATCTAAATAATAGTAAAAAAAAAAAGTTTAAAGAATTATCTAAATAATAAAAAAAAGTTTAAAGAATTATCTAAATAATAATAAAAAAAAAGTTTAAAGAATTATCTAAATAATAATAAAAAAAATGTTAAAGAATTATCTAAATAATAATAAAAAAAAAGTTTAAAGAATTATCTAAATAATAATAAAAAAAAGTTTAAAGAATTATCTAAATAATAGTAAAAAAAAAGTTTAAAGAATTATCTAAATAATTAAAAAAAAAAAGTTTAAAGAATTATCTAAATAATAAAAAAAAAAAAAAGTTTAAAGAATTATCTAAATAATAAAAAAAAAGTTTAAAGAATTATCTAATTTTATTGCCATTATTATAGAGTTTTGTCCCTTTATTCTAATGAAACTAAAAGCGTTCACTCAGATTTTTAATAATTTTCATTGGGGCCATCCGTAGTAGCTGTCGTCACTCGTCACTCAACACGTAGATCAAATATTGGATAAAAACACCAGTACCAATCGTTAATAATTGGTTGTACTACTTTTTTTATGCTAGAAGTAAGTAATAATTCTTTTAAATCAGATTAATTTAACATTAAATTTTCTAATTTTACTAAAATAACGTGTCAGAAACTTTGTTAAATATTTTTAAAATCGATAAATTTGTGTTTGTTTACAAATTTCTTAAAATTAAGAAAATGGCGGGATTTTTAAGAAAATTTAAAAATTCCAATACTAAATTTGACATTCCAATGTATATAGTTTCTATCTGAAATACACCAGAATTATTTACTTAATGGAAATAATAAATTTAATGATTAAACTTTCAATTAAAGCTAAAATGAAATCTTAAAGCATGTTTTTTCATTTTTTAAAATTTATTTTAAAGTTAGGTATCGAAAAAAAAGTGGAGGTACCTATATATATATATATATATATTAAAGACTTTTTTATGTTTAACGTTCTTTTTTATAGATACAAGTATTTAAGTAAATGCTCTGTTTATAATAATAAACAGTATTAAATAACATTTACCGGCCTGAATGCCCGAGAAATTTTCATAGAAAATATTCGTCCTTTGACAGGATTCGAACCTGCATCCTATATGGAACCATCATTTACGCTGACGTGCCTTAACCGACTCGGCCACAAAGGAGCGTTCGGTAGACAAGGTCGAATTTACTGCTTATAAACTTCAATATTCCATGAATCTCGTACATTCATAACTGCTCTGGCGTATCAAATGTAAACAAATTAAGAAATGGACAAAGTCCGACAATTTATTTATTAAAGACATTTTTATGTTTAACGTTCTTTTTTTATAGATACAAGTATTTAAGTAAATGCTCTGTTTATAATAAACAGTATTAAATAACATTTACCGGCCTGAATGCCCGAGAAATTTTCATAGAAAATATTCGTCCTTTGACAGGATTCGAACCTGCATCCTATATGGAAGCGTCATTTACGCTGACGTGCCTTAACCGACTCGGCCACAAAGGAGCGTTCGGTAGGCAAAGTCGAATTTACTGCTTATAAACTTGCCTTATAAAAGATTTCAGTTATCTGTTTGGATTGGTATTGCTTTTATGTCCATCTTTTTCATGTTGAATTGTATATGGTCTATGTTAATTATGTTTTATGAATATGTACGTGGACATTAAACATTAAAACTGCATAATTGCATATTAAGATTTTTGTTTGTTTTTTCAGTATATTTTTCTTCATACTGTCGGATGTATATCCATATATTTGCTTACATATATATATATATATATATATATATGAAGAAATATAGTCTTAAGGTGTGCTATATTTATGGGATAAAGTGCTCAGAGATAGAGCGTGAGTAAATATAAAAGTGAACAGTGAAGTCAGCACTTAGAGGCCCTCTAAATATATATATATTATAGTGTAAATAATAATGTTTTTCTGTTTTCCATTTGGTATTAGTATGCTTAATGCTTTTAATATTAACCTTTAAATTAAAAAAAACCCGACATTCATAAAATATACACTATTTACATTGTTTGGATTGTTGTCCTCATTATTATTTTCATATTCATGACGTTTCGGCCGCTGTACGCAAAATAGCAAAAATGAAAATAGCGTTCACTTCCAGTTGCTAAGGACATTTTGTTTTTGTTATTATTAGTTTAATAAACTCATTTCGTTTTTTGCCTTGAGAAAGTCCACATTGGACGAAACGCGTCGACAACTATTACAGTTTTCCTATTGTCTTTTACATTTATATATATATATATATATATATATATATATATATATATATATATATTGCAAAGAAATTTCATTGGTCTTTAACCAAACTTGTATGGGGATTTCACAAGAGAGAAGTATGGGGCACCTAGTGAGAATCAATAACCAAACTTGTATGGGGATTTCCCAAGAGCGGAAGTATGGGGCAACTAGTGAGAATAAATAACCAAACTTGTATAAATCAGAAATTGTTACCGAAATACACCCAACATATACACATCAAGTGGCGATCGTATTTCATACATTTGTAAATAAACATATTTATATTTTTGATATTCCCCAATTCGTTTTAGACATCAAACAGGTACACGAAAAGGCAATCGGATCAGAAAAGAAAGGAAACGAGGACAAAAAATAATTATACACATATCCATATGTATTGACATTTACGCTATCAACCTCACCCTGTTCAGCAAATTAAATGCGATCTCCAGACAATAACGGAACGAAGAAGCAAGGCTTATATCTGAATGGGTAATGAGCAGACGTCGGATGGATTTTCTCTTCTGGTGCGTAAGCAAGCAAGAAGAGGAGGGCATTGATCTTAGGCGCCGGACGCTTGACTGATTCGTGATGATTTGGACAAGCGATGCCATCTTGTCTGGACATTTGTCTTTTTTTTTATTTCTGGAAAATAGTATCATACTTGCAAGACGGTATTTATAAGAAAAGTTGTTGGTCAAGAACGGATCAAAGCATCAAAGGCCAACATGATTATTGAATCAAGATTGTTAGTGACTGAAAACGAAAATCGACTTGTTTCTGTCTGAATTTCAGGAATGAAAAGTTATCATCATTTGCATTATTTACACACGGACTGTTGTCCTCACCTTTGTTGTTGCTATCAAAACGTTTCGGCTGTAATGCCCTCCGGTCTTCATCAGGTAACTGTCTATCCGGGTAACAATCAGGAAAGTTCGAAGTGAACCCTTTATTTAATCTACGGGGGTAGATTGTTCTTGTTCCGCTGACCATGTCTAGGGGTCAACTTGTTCTTATTTTGTACTATTTAGTTATTTCCGCTGAGGTCAATTACACACTACCTGGGGCAGGGTTTGAACTCACAATTACTATTCATCAACAAATTAACGAACCTAAGCATTAATTCATTACTTGTCGGATAATTCTGAGTGGACAACATTACTCTCATCCCCAAAAATCAATTTAATTCTTTTTTAATGTTGCCTGATTAAATCTAAAGTAAGGAACGATTACCTCGAAAGAAATTTAAAATGAACGACTTTATAAAATAATTCGAATGGGATACCTTATTTTTGTTATATTAATCAGTGCATTTCGCCCAATGCACTTTCTTGTTCTCTTAGAGCTAATTAAATAAACAGTTATCGTATTTTAATCATTCAAGCGAGTACCTTTAGATTTACTCTTTTGATCACACCGTACATTGTTCATAGGTAAGGTCCTTGGTTTGCCATCGTAATTTTGATAATGGTATGGTCGGAAGCGCTACACTCTAAACAAGCAATATATACGCACACTGGCCCCAGACATAAGCAAATTTGCATACAAAACAAAAGCTTATCAAAATATCCTCATACGTACGGTCTTTAATCGAAGTTGTACTAACAACGAACTTGTTCCTCCATATACATATATATATATATATATATATATATATATATATATATATATATATATATATATATATATATATTGATGCATGTTTCATTAAATAATATATAAAAGTTTTGTCTATTTATTTTAAGTTCCTTTCATATTGTCTGTTAAGCTTAATAACATTATCACTGAAACATGCATCAATGAAAAATTGCTGCGTAAATACAAACACACACATTATATATGTTTTAGACCATTTTCTGGTTTCTGGTATTTACATTTCAACTTTCATAAACCACTATGAAATAATTTTTTTTTCTAGCCCGATTTATCGTTTTAAAAATGTAGCGTTTTCACGCGTCATATATTTTTAACATTGTGTCTTTACGTGTTAATTTGTGTTATCGTGTCATTTATCTTTATTTATGAAATATAATTGGTATGTTTGTTCCTAAATTTGGTTACATTTTTATTGATGTTGTAGTTTTTGTTTCGTAAGCGTCATACTTCGAATATTTGTAGTGTTTTTTAAAGTTTATATGATACAGTAATTCTGTGTTAGTAAAGGTTTGTAACATTTATGTTAGCGTCTGTCTTTCGGCATTAGTTTATGATATGCGAATTAACTGATTTATTACGGGATAAATTGCAAGTCTATCGACGTGATAATGTAGTGGTACTTTTGCTAGTAGATGCGTTGTTTGAATTATTACTATTACAGATAAATTTTCCATGTAAACAAGCGAATTGCTCGACATTATTGATTGTAGTATTTTCCCATATATGATTGGATCATTTCCTCATTTATGATTGGATCATTTTCTCATTTATGATTGGATCATTTCCTCGTTTACGGTTGGATCATTTCCTCATTTACAACTGGATCATTTCCTTATTTACGATTAAATCATTTCCTTATTTACGATTGGATCATTTCTCTCATCCATGATTCGATGATTTTCATATTTATGATTGGAATTGGGGGAAAAAAACAGTCTGATTTTATTTGACCAGTGTGGAAATCTTCATTTGCAGGATTTTCTTAATGTTATCATGGCATTGTGACAACGTTTGGGATAAAAGGTCAGTTTGGCGCCTGGAAAATAGTTGATGATAACGCTACAATAACGTCACAACAACAACACATATCTGTCAACAAATACAACTTATGTGCAAACGTTGCAAGAACGTTACGTGTTAACTAGCGAGGTAGAAGAGATTGATCTCATTACTCAGTTATATTTAGATAACCACAAAGATTCCCTAAAGAAGAGCATGTCATGATGAAAAAATGTGCCAAACTTAATAAAAACAATGTTTTATTGTGAAAATTATTAACAGGAAAGACCAAAATATTTTTTATTACTAACTATATTTTTGATTCCTTTTAGAAACTTCAAAATTTTGCTTTCAATTGTTTTCGGAAGTGGATGACCATAAATTAGCATAAATTAGTATAAATTATTATAGAAAATTTTGGAGTCTTTTTGCGAAACAAAAATACACTAATTTCGAAATTCTAGCAAAAATCAAATAATTGTTGGATTTTAATGAAACTTTCAATATTTTTTTTTGCAAAACAGTAATCTCGTTACAGAATATCTGCTCTGATTTGTAAAATATAAAATGTGTTAAGACTAAGACATTATTTAATTAGAGAAGCTTTTATGTATAAAATATATTATGGACAGTATTGTTTTAAGAACAATCTTTTTCGATGAATAATGAATTTTACAGGAATTGTTTTCATTTTTGTTTTAAAAAAAGAATCTAGTTAGAATAATTTATAAATTCTTAAATCTTTTAAAATTCTGTATTAATTTGTATCGGTTTAGTGATATTGTTGTTAAATTACGACTGTATTTTCTAATCGTAAATGGAAAAGCTCACTACAATTCAACGACTCCCAATATTTAGAAAAAAACTGGATTTGTTTTATACGTGTATAAACTTGTCGATTTTTGCAAATACGGATGTCCAAAGGCGACATTATCAGAGAATAAGAGCAGTTATTATTAAAGTTAAGGTATTGGAAATTTTCTAATATTTCATCAACAAGCGTCTTCGTAAGTACTGAAAATCTAATAAAATATTAAATTGTTTAGAATATTTTCTTGATTTTTTTGAGATTGATGGGTAGTTATAAAAATGATATAAAAACAGTTCACGTTATATTCATTAACTAATTGTTAAAGTTATGTCACTCTTAGGAAAATTGCCAAACATAAGTCAACACTTCATAAATAAATCCAACTCCGTGTTAAAAATACTTTCTGTGATATTTTAAACTAAAAGTAATATTTGTTTCAAATCAGATTAAATTAAATTTTGCATAAGGTAATCGTTCTCAAATAAAGTTTCAGAAAATTATATTTTATTTTTTTTAAAGATGTTTTAATAATGTTAGGTTGTGTTTACAGATTTGTCAATAAGGACAATTTTAGCATTTTTACTGATAATGAGAAAACTATTTCAAATAAATTTAAATTCGTTTTGAAATACAGCAAAGTATTTTGCTTATTGAAATTTACCTTAATCTATTAGCTTGAAATTAAAATTAAGGTTTTTCATTTTTAAAAATGTAATTTTAAACCTTAGGTATCGCATTTCCTTGGAGGTACTTAGTTACAATTGTCAACCAGATTAGCTCGCTAATCCTTTCGTTACGCCATGTCGGCAATTGTATTTGCCAAGCTTAGCTAAGTTTGGCATACTTACTATAAAGCTCCAGTGGAAATTACGTTAATTATTAACGATCTACAAATCATGTTTACTGACCACTATATCACGGTGATGTGCATGAAATATACTATACTTAGCTTCTATTTTGGTTAAGGTTTTAAGAATGGGTACCCGGTGAGGATCGAATTCACTACTCAGTTATAAAGTCGAACTAGACTAACTCGCTAGTCGTTAACTAAAGTCGAAGCGCAACTGTTTCTTTATAAGGCAGTATTTTAAGCTTCTTTTTTTGCAACATTTAAATGACTGTGACTGACATTATTTCTCTCTTCAATAATCTCGTTTACCAGTAGAATGTTTTCATGTTTCCTTTGTCACCATATCAATCCACAAGTAGCTCGCCTTTTTCAGTTTTTCCCTCATCTCTGCAGCCATGTCGTTTTTCCAGTTACAAGATCTCTGTGCGGTACGATAGCCCAATGCGACCGGACTCCGCGTACCCAGCGGGAGCACCAGGCCATATGTGGCAGCACTATGGATGATCATGGAATAATCCCTCGCTAAAGATGCTGGAAAAATGTTTGGTTCCCATTAACGCTTCAGTAAGTAACTGATTCCTCCTGATATGCTCTACGTTTACAAGGGCCAATATCAGGACGAAAATGGAGTAATAATGCCATATATGAGCAGGAGCCGCCCAGTCTTAACTTTCCAGATTTAATAGGTTTGAAGTAAGTCTTAATAAGCGTTAAAAGCAAAATTCAGGATCTGCTTGGTGTTGAACGTTACTAGTTTGGTTTTTGAGTTATTGACTGTGATCAGCCATTTTTTGTCTCGTTGAGCTGTTAGAGCTCGGTCACAGGAAAGATCAGCTGTTAGGCTCTGGTCTTCTAGATTTTTGGAGGTACACCTATATGCTGTTGCATCATCTACATAGATATTCGCTAGAGCATATACACATAGTTATAATGTTGTCACTTACTTCCATTATAGCAGAGTTTGGAAGGAATGTGTGTAGCGTGCGGTCGTCTAACCACAGCAATGAGGTTCCATCAATAATCATGGCTTGCGAACCAGTTTTTGGTCAAACTCAATATACTTCAGTTACGATAACCACTATATCCCCCAGATCTAACCCCTGCGACTTTTACCTTTTCAAATATCAAATCCCACTTTAAAAGATTACGATTTCAAAAGGTCGTAGAAATCCAAAATTATATGACGAGTTTAATATCCCCCCAAAAGTAGTTTCAGGAAACCTTACATCAACAGAAATGGCAAAGTATGGGTAAAGTATTTTGATTCAGAAAGGGACTGTGTTCGAAGAGATTAAATGCCGAATTCATATTTTTTTTTAAAGCATTTCACTCCAAGTAAGGCGAGAGCGCCGTTGGTACGCAGAGGTTCTAGAGTGTGAAAATGAGAGAAAAGACTGGGTATAGGTGATGTTGAGGAAAGGATAAAAGAGGAATAGGGTTCAAGTCAACAGAAGATGGTCGTTGACTCTGCATTTAAATTTTTGAAGGCTGTAGTAATCAAAGAAGCAAGTAAACGGAAGGGAATTCCACAGGCGGGAAGTGCGAGAAAAGAAACTGTTGGAGTAGAAGTGACGGTTACATTTAACTATTTCAATAGCAAAAAGCTGGGACCTATATGCCAATCTAGTAGAACGCTTAAATTGTCATGAAAATATTTGTAGAAAAGACAGAGGGAAGCCACGCCACGTCTGTGAGAAAGTGACTGAAGAAGAGATGCTAGGTCAGGATCTTTGGATTTTGTCGAGAACTTTGAGATGAACAGCAGGGGCACCAGACCAAATATGTCAACAGTATTCAATGCACGGACGAATGGTAGAAGTGCAAGATGAAGTCTGACGAGAAAAAAAAATCTTCCGGTACAGAGAACCAACTTTCCTTGCAGTAGATGCAGCTATTGATTCAATGTAGTTGTTCCACTTCAAATCAGTTAAAAACTTGAGGCCAAGAAGACGCAGTGAGATGCTTTCCCGGAATTGAGCATCAACCATACTGATGGTGAGCAGGAACATTTCTGTACGTAGTTTTCCATTTTATAACACCAGTCTGAATACTTTTTGACCAAACCTCGTACAATAATATATCTGCATTAGTTTCTATAGTAACAAATACTAATGACATAAGAAAAACTTCTGAAACTCGTTTCCTGGAGACACATCGCCAAACCGACAATAACGAAATTTAATAAAGGGCAGAAACAGAATCCTAATTTTTTTTTTCGGCATGTTTACGCAAGTTCATCCTGAATTCAGATTTGACAAGTCATTCTTCATTTTCTGACCTTTGAACTATATTTATAATTTTTGCTCTCTGCCAGAATTTTGATAAGAAGAAATTATCTTTTTTGTGACGTTTCATTTGCGGTACACTTCCCGTGTTTTCTTTTTCTTTTTTTTTTTGCTGTTTTTGAACGGAAATAAAATTAGTTTCATTTCTTTTCATGCCTGTCTCCATTTTTTATAAGTTCCTTTCTTTCTGTCTTCGGCCTTTTTTTTTCAGCTATCATTCCTTCTTCTTTTTCTTTCTTCTTTTTCTTTCTTCTTTTTCTTTCTTTCGTCACCATTATCTAGCTTTTGCTTTGCTTTGTTTGCTTGTTTTTGCATCCGTATCTGGCGTCTTGCACACTTAATAGCTTCCTCTTCTTTCTTTTTTTTTTCTTATTTCCACTTACTCCTTTCTTTCTTTCTTTCTTTCTTTCTTTCTTTCTTTCTTTCTTTCTTTCTTATTCCCATTTACTTTTTCCTTAATCTCACTTACTCTTTTGTTTGTTTGTTTGTTTGTTTCTTTCTTTCTTATTCCCATTTATTTTTCCTTATTTCCACTTGCTCCTTTCTTTCTTTTTCTTTTTCCATTTACTTCTTGCTTTCTTATTTCCACTTAATCCTTCCTTTATTTATTTATTTTACTTCTATTTTCTTTCATTTCTTTCTCTCTTATTTCCATTTATTTCTATTCTTTCTTTCTTTCTTTCTTTCTTATTTCTACTTACTACCTTCTTTCTTTCCTTCCTTCTTTCTTTCTTTCTTTCTTTCTTATTTCTACTTTCTTTCTTTCTTATTTCTATTTACTATCTTTCTTTCTTTCTTTCTTTCTTTCTTTCTTTCTTTCTTTCTAGCACATCCTATTCTCTCTAGCCGACTTCTAGTTGTAGCGGCGACACGATGACTTTCTGCAACATTAAATGGTGTGAATCTTTAAAGAACAAATATACAAAGCAACCCAATGCAAAACGTATCCTATTATTGTAGGACATCAATCATAGAATAATCATTTTAGATAAATAAGCATCTGCAGGTCATGGGAGTCTGGGAGTGTTCCTGCATTTGGAACACTTGCAATTCCCCAAACAACTTAAAATGTGACTCAAACTACATAATAAACAAAAGACTGACAAGAAAACAACAGGAAAAAGGGAAGAAAACATCTGGAAACTATTGCAAGGCACAACACAGGGGTGGGGGGGGGCGGATGGCGATAAAAGAAAATGAAGATCATCAGATATGCGAAGCTAAACAGAAATAGGACAGGAAAAAACTTTAGACAAAAAAAGAATGGAAACTAGATAACTTCTTTTACGTACCATCTTCCCTCGGGACGTAAGGGACAAGGGCTCCCCACAATTTCCAATCCAGCTCTTTTGTTAATATTTATCCTTTTATTAAACCGTCCACTCTCTGTTCTGACATCCATTTACATAAGCTCGTTAAGCAGGTTCCTCGATTATTCTCACTTCGTCTCTTGCTGTTAATGAACAGTGACTCTCAAATGATTCCCTAAGCCTTCTTTTCTATTTATGTGTTCAAGACATTTCAACGGTTTATTTTTTGTTTCATTTTTCTTAAAACATTCTCGTTGGTCACAAGTTCCGATTATAATATGCTCAGCATCTTTCTGTAGGATAACATTTATGTTGTTTCAAGTCACTTCATCTGTGATGTGACTGTCGAGCATTCACTGCCATATCGGAAGATTGATATTACTTAGCAGTTCAGTATTCTTTTCTTTCTTTCTGTTGTTTCAAGTCTCTTCTTCATCTGTGATGTGATTGTCGAGCATTCACTGCCGTATCGGAAGATTGATATTACTTAGTAGTTCAGTATTCTTTTCTTTCTTTCTGTTGTTTCAAGTCTCTTCTTCATCTGTGATGTGACTGTCGAGCATTCACTGCCATATCGGAAGATTGATATTACTTAGTAGTTCAGTTTTCTTTTCTTTCTTTCTGTTGTTTCAAGTCTCTTCTTCATCTGTGATGTGATTGTCGAGCATTCACTGCCGTATCGGAAGATTGATATTACATAACACTTCAGCATTTTTTTCTTTGTTTTTGTTGTTTCAGTCTCTTCTTCATCTGGTCTCACACTTTCACTGTGGGAACCGTTAAATATAACCACCTCTTCTACTGCAACAGATTCTTCTCTCGCTCTTCCCGACAGTGGAACTCCCATCCTCTTACTTGCTTCCCTGAGAGCTGTAATCTTCAAATGTAATGTCAATCGACATCTTCTGATGCCTTGATTCTGATCAGCGTCCTTCTCTTTATCCTTTCTTCAAACACCCCTCTTTACTCTTACTTTCACTCTCTGTGACACCTTGCGTGCTAGTGGCACTCCCAGCTTGCTGGGGGTGAAATGCTTATAAAAAAATAATTCAAATTTCGTAGGAAATATTTTTGTCTAATATTTTGAAAATTTTTCTATTTATTTTTTCTAAAAAATGCCACCGACGCTATGTTAGCTGCATATATTATGTTTATAAAATTATACCCGCCAATACAAAAGACTCTATTACGGGTATTATGCAAAGGCATGTCTCCTAGAAGTAAAGCTTCAGAAATTAGGACGCGATTATATTCAGCGTCCAGGTATTAATAAAAACAGCGCAAGTGGATAGTTTCTAATGTGAATGCATTTCTAGTTATCCGACTATAAAAAAAATCCAACAAAAATAAATTTGAAATATGTCGTAAGTGGTCAGTAATTAATACAAGAAATATGAACAGAATTATGCAGAATTTCAATTAAGCTTTTTATTTCAAATTTCGTGGGAAATATTTTTACACCTTTTTTTTTATTATTTTTTTTTTTATTTTACTCTGAAAATTTTTTTTCTTATTTTCTCTAAAACATATAGCGATCCCCGGAAGCATTGTTGCAGACCTTATTTGGGCGGAGAACATTAGTTTGGGAACGAAAAGAATAGAAAGAAAGAAAGAAAGAAAGAAAGAAAGAAAGAAAGAAAGAAAGAAAGAAAGAAAAATAAGAAATAAAAAGAATGAGAATGGGTGTATGTAAGAAAGAGAAAAAGAGAGAGAGAGAGAGAGAGAGAGAGAGAGAGAGGGTAGCGAGTGAAGAGTGGTAGTGGATATAGAAAAAGGCGAAGGGGAGGAGAGAGGAGTGAGAATAGGTCGCGTAGGGAAAGATGAGAGAAATATCAACGAGTCGAATATTTATTCAGCTTTGTCGAAGATTCTGTTGTGTTTTCCGGAAGAAAGAAATTTGCTACAGGCGAACGCGTCACTCCAACTCGCTAATTAAAATTCCTCAACAGGTGATCGTGGGCGCCTACAACAGAGCAGTACTCTAGCAAGATAATCGCATAGACCATTTAGCTAGAGCCGTGAGTTCGATTTTCATTGGTGGCTCACTAGGTAGGGCCTTGTGTCAGACTAAGTCTTCAGAAACGTGCTTTCTACCAGGCAGCCCCTAACGGGTCGATGAGAGAGATGAAAAACTGAGAGAAAAATTAAAATATTATAGTTGAGAGTACTGAACTGTTATGTAAAATCAGTTTGCCTCTAAGACAATGAATATTGGATAATCCATCACTGATGGAAATATTGGATAATCCATCACTGATGAAGAAGAGACTTGAGGCAACAGAAATGTGTTTCAGAGTCTGCCTATATTTCCTCAAGGACACATGGCACAGTGGATAAAGGCGTTGGTTAGATCCAGTGACAGGACCCAAAGAGTGTGAGTTCAATACCCGGTAAAGGCAGTGGAGAAATTAACAGGAGATAACTGATAACTGACATCCATTATAACATGGCACGTGGAACTAGAACAGTCTACCCCAGTGAGCGAAATAAAGGGTTCAGTTCGACATTCGAACTCCCTGAAGAAGGCCGGAGCGTGCAACGGCCGAAACGTTGTGATAAATATGGCGACAAAGATGAGGACAATAGTCCGAATAATGTAAATAAGAAATGTGTTTCTACAGAAGGATGCTGAGAATACAACGGATCGAACATGGAAGAAAAAGAGTACTGCTACGTGAAATCTCTTCTCCTATATGCTGGACAGTCTCCTCATAGATGAAGAATAGACTTGAAGCAATAAAAATGTGGTCCTACAGAAGGATACTGAGATTACCAGAGGCCGAACATGTGAGCCAGGTCGAAGTTTTAGAGAAAATGGAAACAAAAAGGACCGGAAGAGACAATTGAAATTTATACGTCACGTAATGAGGAAAGAGGGCTTGGAAAATTTGAAACTCACAGGTCACGTTGAAGGCTCGAGGGACAGAGGAAAACAGCACATAACTTAAGGAACGGACTTGTGAAAATGGTTGACAGAATATGGATCAGGAATGATAGTAAAATACAACATTTACTAAGCTACAAAGTTACAAAGGATAGGAAATTGGGGAGAGCTATGATTGCAAACATACTGAAGGAACACACGGTACGATACATAGAAGAATGAAACCCCGAGTCGTCAGTGTTGAAAACGTATCCTATACTGCCTAATTATACTCATATATATGCATGGTTTGGTCAACGCAATGGTTCACTAAGCGTCGTTCTGCATGATTGATTTATTTAGCGTCATATCAACCCGCTATGGGTTATTTAATGCTAAAATCCAAATATTTTGAGCGCTATTTTACGTGCATTATTTCCATTATTCGGACTGTTATCCTCATCGCCATATTCACAATGTTTCGGCCCTTGTACGCTCCGGTCTTCTTCAGATAATTAGATTTTCGAACCAAACCATTTATTTCCTCCACCGGGGTAGATTTTTCTACTTCCACGTGCCATACCTCTTCCGGATGTCTCAGTTATTTCCCTTTAACTCAATTTTACAAGTTTTGGTTCACTACTGCTGTGGCCTGGCATTGAACTCACAATTCTTTGTGTCTAGTCATTGGATTTAACCAACGTCTTTATCCAATGAGCCATGTCTTTATGGCTTCAACTATATATATTTTGAACGCTACTGTATGCCTTCATCTAGAGATAAAATGTATTGTTGATCATATAACTCTAAATTTGTATATTGGTAATTTTTTTACATAAAAATCTAATGCCTGTATTTTTGCGATAAAAATGTATTTTCATACTTCCACAGTGTTTTGCTTTTGTTTGTGCGAGAGGTTCAATATTTGCCCATAGGTGGGACCCTAACAGGTGCTACCACCCCGATTCTAGGAACAACAGCAATTAAGAGGTGGTTCTACACTCCTCAAAACTTCCAGTCTCCCGATCATAGGCCTTGCTGCTGGATGTAGTTCATCGTCTTACCCAGGACTATTTCTGCATGGAGGAATTCACTGATATATATATACTTCGTATCCACTTTCAGATCAAACGCAATTTTGCCAGACAGCCATACGTAAGAAGATGAGAAAGAACATTCACAAAGAGAGAAAGTGAGAGAAAGAGAGCGAGTATAAATATCAGCAGTGTAAAGTTCTGTGTAAATATAGTGCAGGCCTTTAAGAAATAATACGTGGGAACAAACATCTTTGACATTAGCAGGTCAAAAGCATCTATCAAAAATAAATAAATCAAAAATAAATAAATAATTAAAAGAAGAAGAAAAGTAAATTAATAAAAAAACTAACGAAGGAACATGGACCGAGAGAAAGGGTGAAAGAAAATCACTCTATGAGTTTCATTATCAACGCTATGCTTAATAATAATCCGTCCGAAGTAGGTACCTTGGAGCTATTTAGGTGAATTACTTACAGTACCTTTTCTCTAATACCGTTTAAAAAGGCATAAATCCATAATTTTTGTATTCAGCAAAGGGTCAAATAGCAGTGAACAATAGGGTTATGACATTTTTGTAACCCTATGTACACTCTTAATCAAAATCTTAAGACCAGTTACAAATAGTTAAAAAAATATAAAATATTGTTACTTTAATCGAAATATATTT